AATACGGCCGTATTGAATTCAATACGGCCGTATTGAAGTTCAAAAAACCTCAATACGGCCGTATTGAAGTTCAGTGCGGCCGTATTGAAGTTCAGTGCAGCCGTATTGAATTCAATGCAGCCGTATTGAAGTTCAGAAACTTCAATACGGCCGTATTGAGTTCAGTGCGGCCGTATTGAAGTTCAAAATGTTCAATACGGCCGTACTGAACCTCTGGGAGGCCGTATTGGGCTTCATTCCTCCCACTTTTCTTATTTTAGCTATCCTAAGACCTCTAGACCTATAGAGAACCCTCCTTGGGCCTTCTGGAAGTCCTTCTGGCTGATCTTCCTTCAGTCTTCGAGAGTTTTCAAGCTTTATTTCCGACCCGGACAATTTTAGGGGTCTACACAAACTTTCCTATACAATCTCTAAGAATATGATTCAATAGACGCATGAAGGTGCTAGGGGAATTAGTGAGGCCAAAAGGCATCACTAACCACTCATACAAACCAAATTTGGTCTTAAAAGCGGTTTTCCATTCATCACACTCTTTAATTCTAATTTGGTGATAACCACTTTTAAGGTCAAATTTTGAAAATATGATGGCTCCATGCAACTCATCCAACATATCATCTAACCTAGGGATTGGGTGCCTATATTTTATTGTGATATTATTGATGGCCCTACTAGCTGTTAAGTATAATAATGATTCAATAATACCTTTGAATATTGAATTGTCAACAACTATACCCTTCTCATCTAAGTCAAGATTGCAAGAGGTTGATATAGGTGTTGTAGCCTTCTTACAACCATTCATACCCAACTTTTTCAGCAACTCATTGCAATACTTACTTTGAATTATAAAGATACCATCATTTAATTTCTTAATTGAATTATTCTTATTGTTGTTACTTATCTATTATGGGGTAGGAGGGTGTCACAAAACAGACCAACAAGAACAGTAAAAGCACCTGCAAGGCTTAGTGATTATGAGATAAATGCTGATAATGCAGTTACAGTAGGAGGAGAACTTATTGGAGAAATAGAGGATGAAAATGGTCTTGTTCATTTGGCCTTATATGTTGAGATAGAACCAGAACCAGTGTGCTTTGAAGATGCAATTGGAGACCTTAAGTGGTTTGAGGCAATGAAAGAAGAATTGCTTGCAATTCAAAAAAATCAAACTTGGGAACCTACCGATCTACCAAGGAATCAAAAGCCAATAGATGTAAAATGGGTGTATAAAACTAAGTTGAAGCTAGATGGAACAGTTGCAAGGTATAAAGCCAGACTCGTGGCAAAGGGGTTTCTTTAGAGAAAAGGCTTGGATTACAAGGAAATTTATGCTCTTGTGGCTAGAATGGAGACAATGAGAACTGTTGTAGATCTTACAAGCTATAAAGGATGGGAAATGCACCAAATGGATGTCAAATCTGCCTTTCTGAATGGTGAATTAGAGGAGGAAGTGTATGTTGCACAGCCACCAGGATTCATAGTTGCTGGAGAAAAACACAAGGTACTTAGATTAAAGAAGGCTTTGTATGGCCTGAAACAGGCTCCAAGAGCCTGGAACAACAAAATTGATGGCTTTCTTATGCAGCATGTGGTTTTTCCAAGTGTGAAGTAGAGTATGGAATTTACTCAAAGATTGAGGATGGTGAAGTTTTAATAGTGTGCTTGTATGTGGATGACCTTTTTGGTGACTAGCAATAGTATTACAATGATTGAGAAATTCAAAATAATGATGAAGGATCAATTTGAAATGACTGATCTAGGAAAGCTATCATATTTTCTTGGCATGGAGTTTACTGAAAGCAAAAAAGGAATTCTAGTTCACCAAAGTAACTATGCTAAAGAAGTGTTAAAGAAATTTAGAATAAGTGAGTGTAACGCAACAACTACACTAGTTGAAGCAAATTTTGAAGCTAGACAAAGATGAAGATGGAAAGCCTGTGAATACTACACTTTACAAACAGATGGTTGGTTGTTTGAGGTATTTTTCTGCAGTAGACCAGATATTTACTTTGGTGTTGGTCTGTTGAGTAGGTTTATGGAGAAGCCCAAAGCATCTCACTTTGCAGTTGCTAGAAGAATTATGAGGTATATAAGAGGAACAATAGATTATGGTATTCTGTTACCAAATGCTAAACATCAAAATGGAGGGGAGTTAGTTGGTTATTCAGATTCAGATTGGGCTGGTGATAAGGATGGATGCAGAAGTACATCAGGTTATGTGTTCTTGATGGGTAAGTCACCAATCTCATGGAGCTCAAAATTGCAACATGTAGTGGCACTCTCCTCTTGTGAAGCAGAATACATATATGCTACATACAAAGCTTGTCAAGCTCTTTGGCTTGAAAGCTTGGTGAAACAAATACTGGCCAGACCTGAAAAAGCTATGACATTGAAGATTGATAACAAATCAGCCATCAACTTAGCAAAAAATCCAATCCATCATGGCAGAAGCAAGCATGTTGAAATAAGGTTCCATTTTATCAGAGAAAAAGTGAGAAAGAATAAGCTAAAGCTGGAGCATTGTGGAACTAAGGAACAACTGGAAGATATCATGACAAAACCTTTGAATACTCGAAGGTTTGTAGAACTTAGGAAAGACTTAAACGTAAAAGCAATTGCTGAATTAGGGGGTTGTGTTGGTTAGTAATTTAGCAGCATATATTGGGCTATGTTCATTGTACTTAGAGGCCCAAAATAATAGAAGAGTTCAATTTCAGTTTTTGTATAACTGTCATTTTGTTATATGACAGATTCATAGATTTTGCTGATGTATAATTTGATACTCTAATAACAATCAGTTGCATTCTTCATCACTCGCTCAATCTCTCTTTACTTCTTCCCTCTAATAATTATTAGGGGCTAGTTGTTGAAAAACTCCATGCTAGACGACAAAGACAATTATAAAAGTCCAAGTTGTTGATGAGAAAGATTTATCCTATTTCTACTCCAGTCATCTAGAGCAAGTATAGATGGAAACCTCCCACTAGTCCGAGCTCATCATACCTCTTCAAGAGTTTGATAACCTCTCTCAAGAACTCCCATCATTTGTTGCCAAAAGCGTTTCTGAAGATGGTGTTGAAAGAAACAAGGGCAAGGAAAAATTGGACTATGTCGAATAACTTCATTCTTGCCCACATAAAGATATATATTATCATGTTTTGTCATCATGTATTAATTTGAATAAAAATAGCTTCTAAATTATTTGTATCAATTTATAAAAGTACAGGCTTCAAAATACTATGCAAAAAAGAGTTGAATTAGCACAATTCTAAGTTTGAACTAATTTAAATATAAAAATTATAGCAAATTTTATTTTCAAAACTCAAATTTGGTTAAATTGAGTACTTACACCCAAAAGTCAAAAAAAAAAAAAATAACCACATATTACTTAGCATAATATTCATTTTTGTTAAAAAAGTTTCATACCTTATCTATTTCAAAGTCGGTTAAAGTATTCAGGCCTACATTGTATATGTGCATGGGCAAGATAACTGCCATAGCCTGAGATAGAATGACTCACAGTTGTTAATAAAGTTAAGTAAATGAGGCAAATATCTACCATTGGGACATTTTTAAACCACCAACAAATTTGAGACCCCACCTTCAACAAGCCAATAAAAAATGTGGGAGAAATATCAGATAAATTCTCCACTGCAAGGAGAGACCCAGAAATTATGTTTATTGCCTGTACAAACACAAACAATTTAAGTAAATATTTTTAAAAGATTAAAAAAATATTACATATTTTGTTCTACTAAAACCAGAGATAGAGGTTCATACAAAATATATCGATTAATACTATTTTGAAAATTGATGCTAGAAAAGAAAAAGGTTTGACTTAACTGTGGCAATCATTCCCACTGGCCTTGTAAACCTGAAAAAAGTATTTAAGGAATCTTTTGTAGAGACCAGAAGGCTTTTTGGTCTAGGATCTTGATGTTCATATTCAAATGATTCTCCAGAGGCTGCAGTCACAGAATAACTTCTACCACGTTCTTTACTTGTGGATGCTGCCTCTATGCATCTATAATGATGCTTCAAGTTATGTTGTTGCTGATGCCTTATGATGAGATATTCATTCTGGATTTTCTTGGTTTTATACCATGAAGCTTTTGTTACGTAAGAACCTAAAATATCAAATGTGGAATGTTAGTGGCTGTGAGGATACTTTTCTTTCGTTTTCCATTCTCGCATTATTCTCTCTTAAATGGTTCCTAAACTTATAAAAGAAAAAAAAACACTTAAATATTCTTAAAATTATAAAAGTTTATATTAAATAATATCTAAATACTAAAAAAAACACTCTTCAAATTAGTTTCTGAATTTTTCCAAGTTACACTTAGATTGAATGATAGATCTTCAACATTTCGCAAATTCCTTATATAATTTCATAATTTTAAAGACCGTTTAAAAAAGAGAGTAATACTAGTAGAATGAAAATAATGATTTATTAAAAAAAAACATATACAGGAAAATCTAGTAAAAATATTTGATAATAGATGAGTTCTATTTTAATTTTTTAAGGGCTTTGTTCATCTTAGTGATGAGTTTTATTATTCACGCTCACATGGAAATAATAAATTATTAATTAGTTTATCATTTATAATTTTGATCAATTTCTATATAAAATGTATTCAAAAAAAATTTTTATAAGAAAAATTAATTATATTTAAATTACATGTCACCTAGGTTAAGTTAGATTTCACTCCAAGACTCATAGGCCTATAAATTCTTTTTTCCTTCTTGTATTCACACTTTTTCTTATTGAGATCATATTTTATTTTAGAATTCTCTCTACAAAAGTCTTAGTTCTCTAGAAGGAGAAACTTCTCCTAAAGTTCTTTCATTAAGAATTCCTTCTTATTGTTAGAACTCTCACTTACTCATCTTCAAGGTTTGGAGTGACACATCTATTCTCTTCTATTCACCACCTTCTTTGGTATGAATTTGAGTCTTGAATCCATGAAAAAGATTGGGAGCTTCAAAGGTTACTAGAAGAGGAGAAACAACAAGCATCTTCTTTACTAGTTTCCATCAAAATTTATTTTATAATTTAGCTTGTATCATTATTTACTTTATATGTTGATAACATTTTATTTACAACAAGTTATTAAATAATTTGCATCTATTTTAAAATATTTAAATTTTTATTCGAATAAAATAGATTTAAATATATAAATATGATTGACGAACACAATCTAATTCATTCACAATTAAATTAGATTAAGTTAGATTTCAAAATAATATTGCACAAACTCGTCTATTCAAACCCGCTTACACCCTCACACCCTTCCCTTAAATACACCCATTTATGCCCCTTAACCCATCACAAGGTTTCTCAATAATAAAATTATCAGCATGAACACTATGAAACTGTAAAATAATATAGCATTTTTCACATCAATTTCCAGCATGCACACCATGAAGCCATAAAATAATATAGCATTTTCACATCAATTTTTTTTTTTAGAAAAACGCATAAGCAACATAAATTTGCAGTAATATTGCTGAAATAAAATGGAGGAATTTGGAAGGCTTACCAGCGGTAAGGGAAGAAGCCAAAGAGAAAGAGCCAAGAAGCATAGAAGCCATTATCCACGCTAACTTTTCACCGAACTTGTGTGTCACTCAGTTTCACCAAATATATATATATATATATATATATATATATAAATAAAGAAACTCTGCCACGTGAAACTTTTAAATATCTGAATTCAAAAGTCATCATATTCTAATTAATAATTGCTATACACATATAATAATAGCCACAAAAACCACATTGAATCCTTCTATTTAATTTGTTTAATACGTAACGGCAATCTTTAATACGTAATTAAAAGCATAAAGGACATTCAAACACAAATAAATGTAGTTTATTTTATATATAATAATAGTCACGAAAACCACATTGATTCCTTCTATTTAATTTATTTAATACGCAACGGTAATCTTTAATACGTAATTGAAAACATAAAGAACATTCAAACACAAATAAATGTAGGTTAATTTAATATATAATTTTAGTTCTACTAGCTAATTAATTACTAAGATATCATCATTTTTTTTTTGTCTATGACTACTTTCGATTTTATCCGTAATCTATACTTTGAAATCTTTTTTTTTTTTTTATATAAATAAAATCGTCAATAGTCTGAGCTCTGAATAGTTTGAATCGTTTTATGGCAAAATTAGCGGAAAAAAAATTACTTCATACTAGCTTATTTTTATACATAAGATATATATACCGGCTATAATCCCTTGTTTTACATCAATTATGTATTTTCATATATTATAAATTAAAGTAATTCTTCGATGATTGTATGTATCCATTTTTTGTAGTAAAAAATTTGCCACAACAAGCCAACAACCCTTACTTTATTCAAGTAAAGATGAATCTGTGAACTAAAAGTCAAAATCAAATTAATACGAAATCCATGTGTTTCTCATTAAAATTTCATTAATACCTTCAATTTAACATCTTAAAGAGAAAATAAATGATATAATTACCATTTGATTACAAACTATCATTTATCATAAGTCGTTGATTTTTATAATAAATATGTAAAAAGTCATACCAACAGTGATATGTAACTAATTAATTCATAATGTAATCTATTTCATTAATTCAAATAAATGTGTAATGACTTGATAAATCGCTACATTATTTTACTCTACTCAATAACTTTTAGTCTAAATCTATTTAGACTTATCTCACTCAATAACTTATTTTCTTTTTATCAAATTTTAAAAATCTAACTATTACATTAAAAGTTCATAATGTATAGATTAAGTTGCAAATTTTAAAAAATTGAAAACTATTTGATACTTTGTTTCATTAATTAAGATCAATATATAAAATATTTTTATGATTATCCATCAACTTGAATTGATGAAATAGAGTACCAAATAGTTTTCAATTTTTTTAAAATAATTTGCAGACTCAATCTATGCATTAAATTTTTTTAATTTAATGGTTCGATTGTTAAAATTTAATGTAAAACATAAGTTATTAAGTAGAATATAAGTCTAAGTAGATTTATTCTTAGAGTAAGTGAATCCCTTCTTGTACACACACATACAATAATCTTGTTTTGAAAGTATAAACCTAGGTTGTCGATCAAGCAACACTACAAATACTAGTACAAAAGAGGTAATTTATGTCAGTTATTTTAAGCTTTTTACGTCAGAAAAAAGTCCAACGTTAAAGCGGGAGACGTAAATTTACGTCGGTTGTGAAATCTAACGTAAATTTACGTTGGACATTGCTAAGATCCAACGTAAAAAAGTTGTAAACAAAAAAAAAAACATAACGAGTACAAGCAGAATAGGCCGTTCTGCTTGGAGAACGGGTCGTTCTGTTTGATAGAATAACCTAGAAGAAAAGGCCAACAACACAAACAAATAGAACAACATAAAGACTGAATAGAACAAATAGCCACAATAGCAATGTGAAGCAAAAAGGTGTTAGCGATTCATACTTGAGCTGCAACAATGTGCGAACGAGTAACGAAGAATTCACCCCACTCTGCAGAAGATAGAAAAAATGATTTAGCAACAAAGGAGAGGGAGAAGGTTTATACAGAGAAGAATCTAGAAAAGTGATGAGATCCGAGTGAGTGCGTGCGTGCGTGTGCCTCCCATGCACTCTTTTTATTTGCTTTCGCTACTTTTTTTACGTCGGACCTGGTAGGGTCCGACGTAAAATTTAAAATCTATGTCGATTGTATATTGTGTCTGACATAGATTTTACATTTTATGTCAGTCCCTGTCAGGTCCGACGTAAAAAATTCGCAAAAATAACAAAAATGTCACCGCATCTTTTTTACGTCGGGTTTTGTTAAGTCCGATGAGAAAGAGGTGACGTAAAAGCCTTGTTTTCCACTAGTGAAAATAAGCATTACACCAAGGGTAGCTGAAAAAACATTGTCATCCACAAGCATGGGTCTCAAAAGAACTCTTCCTCCAACCTTTCCTTGTTTGCTCTCATATCAAGTATGATCATCTAGTCCAACCATAAGGAAACATGCAAGGGTAAACTTACTGAAAATAACATCAAGTATAAAAGCAAAATGCAACTATACTATCAACATCAACATATAAACCACACAACATAACTCCTCATAGTTTCACTACAAAAAAAAAAGTCAATTTAGCAACCGAATTTAGCAATCGATTTTTTTTGTCGCTAATAGTGACATAATTGGTTGCAATTTTATTTAGCAACCGAATATTTTCAGTAGTAATTTTGGGTCGCTAATTTCGTCTCTATTCATTTTGTAAATTACATATCCTTTAGCGACCGAATAACAACTGAATTGTATGTAAATTTGTGACCGAATTGGTTTCGGTGGCTAAATTAGCTACGATAAAATTTTGGTCGCTAAAAACAAAACAAAATTATTATTTATAATAATGGTAGTGACCAAATAAAAATCGGTCGCTAAATGTAAATTTTTAAAAAAAATTTAAGAATATATTTTTTAAAAAGAAAGCAAATATAAAAATATATAATATTATTTTTTATAATAATAAAAAATTAGTAATAAGAAATAAAAATCATGACTCTTCCAATAAAATTATTTAATTTTTTAAAATAATACATATTATATAATTTAAGATAGACAACATATCATAATGAATTAAAAAATAAGAAACATAATGCTATAAAAGACATTTAAATATAAAAAAAATTAATTGAATCTTTTAAAAAATTTGGACTAATTTGAATAATAATTTATTTATTTTTCTCTTGAGAAATTTATTTCTCTTTTATCATACTTAATATTTTATTTTATTAGATAATATGAAAACACACAATTTATTGTGCTTTTCAATTTTGTTATGGTAAAAAAAACTTCTTTTTAATTTGTAAATCTTATTTTATTTCAATTATTGTTTTAAAAATTAGACTTAAACATCTAGTTCAGTGAATTTTTTTTGGATTAAATACAGGGCTAAAAAACAGCCAAACTAAACTAAAATCCACGAGGGAAAATTACATTAGAAGAATCAGCAAATAAAGGAGCCATCACCCAAGGGGGGGGTGAGCTAAAAATTTGAATCCCATCCAAAATATCTATACCCCTCTTAGCTAAACAATCTGCTACCTGATTGGCCTCACAAAAAATATGGTTGCAATCCACAGCTAGATTATCGCCTGTCATATTAACTATGAGATTGACCAGAGAATAACATGGATTTTCTCTTGAACAACCTTCATTGAGGAACTTCACTGCTAGAGCGGAGTCCGATTCAATTATAATCGGGTCAAAAATTCCTTTCTCATTAATGATCTGCAATCCATGAAAAATTGCCCATAACTCAGCTTGGACCACAGAACATGTCCCCAACATACCTACGAAGGCAAAAACAAAATTACCCGAACTATCCTGTAACACTCCTCCGCAAGCTGCTATAGAGTTTACATTAACTGCACCATCACAATTCAGCTTCAATATGCCTTCTGGAGGAAACTTCCAACCAACCGAAACAAGAGCACTTTGCCTTCTATCACATATACAACCTCTTTTAGAAAAACTTTTGTCATTTCATCAACCCTTCCTTTAATCTCACCCACTAGTCGAGTTCTGTGAAAATTTCCTTGTTGGAAAACAATAGAATTTCGTGCTCGCCATAAAGAATCCATCACAATCACTAACATAAGACACCATCAGGGATCTACATGGGTTAAATTTTCCTGAAGCCAAGTCACTAGTGGAAGATTAAAAAACTCGTTGAGAAAGCCTTCCGTACCCACTGCACGCCATATTTCTTTTGACTCATTACAATCACGTAATATGTGCATAATGGTTTCACTATGATTGTTGCACACAGGACAATTTCCATTTAGAGTGAGACATTTATGCGCTCGCCATTCATTTGTACATAAACTTGAATGTGCCACCCTCCAAAGAAAGCATCGAAGTTGTTCTGGCCCCTTCTACTTCCAGATAACCTGGAAGAGAGGAACAGGACTCGTAGCAGCCCGGAGAGAGTGGAAGGCCGACTTTAAGGAGAACCGACCATTTGATACTACACCCCAAACCAATATATCTTCATCGGGAACCAGAGAAGGCGGAGCATACGCTAACAATTTGTTCCACACTAAGATAGGAAGCAAGCCTCTGATTTGATCCATATCCCACTGTCCTTCAAGAGTAACATAATGTGCAACAGACTTATTGAGTTCGTCTGGTGGATAAATTGGAAAAAGCTATGCAGCTTTATCCACCAGTTTGGTACGTGAAGGGAGCCAAGAATCTTTCCAAAATGATACCATTGTTCCATCATCTATATTCCAAGCCATGCTTCTCTGGATATCATCCCATGCATCACAAATCCCGCTCCAGAAGTTTGAGCTGTTTGGCCTTTTAACGACCATAGGTATATTCGCTGGTCCACATTTATATTTCCCGCGAATAACTTGAACCCAAAGCATATTTTGATCAGTACATAGAGACCACCCATTCTTCATCATAAGTGCTTTGTTAACATTTCGGAAATCCCGCAGCCCCAGGCCTCCTTCTGCTTTCGGTTTGCAAATTAAGGGCCATGCCACAACATGGATACGATGTTGTTCTCCCTTGTGGCCCCATAGAAAAGAACGACACTCTTTGTCTATATCATCACAAATTTTGTGGGGGAGAAAAGCCGTCTACATCGTGTACATTGGGAGAGTAGCCAACAGTTGATATAAATGTGTTAGTTCCATCAACTTAAAAATAATTGGTTTATATAAGGATTAATATTAACTTATCAAACAAATCTTAAATCGATCAAAAAGTTAGATGTTTTTTAAAAACAATTATTGTGTTAACCTAACAATGACCATCATAAAATTTTAAATGTAGTATTCATTTAATTATTCATAAAAAATACTTTTAAATTAAGCATTCACCAAAAAAGATACTTTTAATTAAAATATATTTTTTAATTTTATTAATTCATTCTCATCCTCTCAATTGATTAAAAAGTGGTAGAATATAATTAATGTTAAATTAGTTTAATAAATAAAAGTTATAAAATAAATCATATATATAAATATGCACACCAATAACACGTGAGTTATATTACTGATGAAATATTTCTAACAAATTTATATTTGTCGAAAATGTAAGAATTTTTGACAAAAATTGGCAATCATATATTAAAAAAGATCATTAATAAAACTTTAAATATATATATATATATATAGAGAGAGAGAGAGAGAGGAGAAGAGGAGGAGGAATCAAATGATTGTAATAAATAATTTAAAGTGTATCATAATATTAATTTTAAATAAAAATAAGTAGATTGTTAATTATAAAAGTAAGTATATATATAAATAAAGATTAATTAAATATAATATAATTATTATTATTGATAATATAATTATTATATATATTTTTATATTTCTATAGCAATCCAGACATCTGGAACTGCCCGTTCTAAAACCAGAACGGTCCGTTCCGGAGATGAGTTTTAACTCAGAACGACCATGTTTGGAACGACCCGTACTTAAAACAAAACGGTCCGTTCCCAACTAGGGTTATATTTTTTAGTAGTTTGAAACGACTCGTTCTAGTTGAGAATGACCCATTCTGGGATACAAAAATGTCTTTTTAGTAGTCTGGAACGACCCGTTCTGGACTACTAAATTATCCATAATAAATTTTATAAAAATTACTAAATTACCCTCCATAAAAAGTATGAAAACTTGGATGTTACATAAAACGTTATAAAATGTTAAGATTAAACAACAATAAAAAAATATTACAAGAATCAAAAGTAAAAAAATGATAAATTATAGAAACAAAAATTATATTTAAACCAAAATTAATATAATACACATTTAAATAAATTTTTATTAAAGACTCTTTTGCAGCCATTAATACGTAATTTAAAAGTTATTATTTGTGAATACGTAATATCCATAAACTACTAGCACATCTATTATTTTAGGCTACCTATTATTTCTGAATGATTCCATTAATAATAGTAGCCACTATTATTGAATTGAAAATTAAAATAACATTCAAGTACAAATTAATGTCACTTCCTTTATGCCCTCGTCAGAAATTCCGAAAACTACGAGACTTTATCAACGGAATTTTGACTGAAGTAATAATCCAAATTTTCAACGGATATTTTATTAATGGAATTATTCCGTCGAAAACTTTAAAATTTTAGATAGATTTTACAGATAAATTATTCGTGGAAAACAACTGTTATTAATAAAAATTCAAAATCTTTCAATAACTTAAAAAAATTCAATATGTTCGGGAACTATTGCAAAACAATTTAAAAAATGAACTAAACTTCTTAAATACCTAAATTGATAAATATGTATTGATGTATAAAATATATAATTATTTTTTATTTTTACTTTTAACTATCAATATATAAATTACTATAAAAAATTATCTTTTATAATGAAATAGACATTAATTAATTGAAAAAAATAATAAGATGAAATATATACTTATTTATATTAATATATATATATATATGAGTTAATCATTCATACACTGCCAATGTATAGTTTTTTACATTGAATTATTTATTTTCATGGACTGGTGGAAAGGTGGGAATTTAAATATGTTTATTGTAACATGATATTCTATTAAAAGGCTAATCAGTTTTTATTTCAGGTAATGTAACCATTTAATAGCTTCTGCTATAAACACATACAAACACATGCATAAACACAACGATGAAATTTATAACATGTTTTTCAAGATTAACAGTAGTTATTGTGATCGATTCTGTTTAAGAATTGCTATCTCAGATTTTAGGATCCTAATTTCCATTTATCTAGAGATAGGGACCTGATAGTAACTATGGTGGTGTATGTATAAAAGGATAAAAAGGGGAATGAAATAGGAAACTCAATTTAATATATTAAAAGGAGACTGTTGAAGAGTATGTTGTGGAAACTCCTCTTATTACTGTATTGATTGATGCCTCAACTAAGTCAAATTTATAAGCTGGTGTTTGTATTAGAAGCTACTATGCTAAATAGTTTTTCAGGAAGATGACATGATCAAACCGCTAATGTTTTCTCAATTTACTTTGTCCAGTATATACGTCACTGCTTGTTGCTAATATTGTGTTTAATAAATTGAAATTTACAAATTTTCAGGGTGCAATCCTCCTCATTGGTTATTGTTACAGCAGTTCAGGTTCGTATTTTGTAACTAATCTCTTCACTTGAATTCTGGAATCCTCATAAAGAAAGAATCTTCAATCAAAGCAAAAAAGGATTTTGAATTTGTCACCCTCCAAATGTTGTTTCAAATACCAACCAGAGTGAACTTTTGACTTTGGATACGATCTTAAATGGCTAAATACTTTACAACTTCCCATGAGTTTTTAAAGTTTGAATCTAGACTTTTGTTCATTAAGAGAAGAATCCTATGGGCAGGGAACAGCCGAACAGCACAGTGGAGTACCCAAAATGAATATGGTCAATGTAACATTTTAACTGAAGAAAAATCAGGAATACAAATGTATGTATATGTATAGCAACTGTGGCCTCAGGCTATACCATTAAGAGTGATAAAATAACATGCTCATAAGCAGTAGCAGAGCTAGAGGCAGAAAATTCTAGAGTTTTTGTGGAGGCCGTACTTTAAAAGAAAAGATTTAAAGATTCTTGGTAAACTTTAGCATTTTGAGGTGGCTAAAGTCGCTCTGTTTTAACTATACACTGCCCATAAGAAAGGCACATAGTAGTCCAGTTTAGAAGAGTGAACAAAAATCCTCTTTGGAGCTTGGCTAATTTCTCTCTTTAATTTATATCCACCAGATTTGGTAAATTAGCCAGATTCATTCAGGAAACTGTGTTGATTCCTCTGTCACCTTGTAAAATGCAGTAAAGATCTTTAATGTAAGTTATTCTTCATGGTAAACCAAAAAACTACTAGTCATCAGCAGCTTGATCACAATTTCGGAACGGCCCGTTCTGGGCTACTAAAATATAAAATATTTTTTCGTAAATAATTATTATTAAAATATTCATATTCATTAAAAATATCTAAAATACTTTATAAAACCCATTTAATTGGTTAAAATAATCATAAGAATTAATCTCCATATATAAAAATAATAATAACAATTAATTATTACATTAGTAAAAATTTTCATGATGTTACAGTAGTTATGTATATCGATGGGATCAGGATTGCTTGCATTTGAAAAATAATTGGCTTATATTTTAATAATTTTAGACGGATTTAAATCTGTCGGAAATTCTGTCAGAAATTTTAGACGGATTTAAATCCGTCGAAAATTCCATCAGTTAAAATTCCGTCGAAAATTTCCGACGGATCTAAATCCATGGGAAATTTCCGACGGATTTTTGTCCGTGGGAAATTATCCGTCAGAAATTTAACTTTTTCTTGTAGTGAGTAAGCCCCTATTTGGTTTCTGCATTTTCTGTTTTCAAAGTTGTACAGATAATATAAGCACAATCAATATAACTATTATAGTCAATCAGATTTAAAAGCAGGAGTAGAAAAAATTATTAGTTTCACAACACAAATTTTAAATGAATACAAATTTAAGGAACTGATAATTGAACATGTTCTACAAAACCAAACACACCATAAACCTGCATAGTTATTAATAAATTGAAGATTTGAAGGGAAAATAATATGCATAATCCCATCTATACATGTTTGTCAACAATGATAATCATGTGTTCAAAAAGCAAAATGTGCATGCCAGTGGGATACTTACCAATGAATTAAAAAATAAAAGAAGACACACATAGCTATTAACCAAATTTAAAGGTAATAAAACATTTTATTGATTTTTTACCAAAGTTTAATATAAACACTCTCTTAAACTGTCTTGCATGGGAAATCTTCTTTAGGCATAACATTTTTAAATAACAAAAAAAAAGAAGATAGTTTTATTTACCTTCAAGTTTGCTTACATCCTTGATATCATTGCTAGCTCCACCTGCCATGTGACCAAACAAATCAAAGTCCATATCAGTATCAATGGAATTTTATAGCAAGTGCAAGTTCACAAACAGAATGTCTTCATTGATAGTTTATGCAGTGATGTATGCCACATTCCTTTGTATTTTACATAAATAAATATTTTCTGGATAAAGTTGACAAATTGAGAATGATTAAATGATCAATGATAGGTTGACTATGATCTATGAGGCTAGGACAATATGTATTGATCAAGCTGCTGATGACTAGTAGTTTTTTGGTTTACCATGAAGAATAACTTACATTAAAGATCTTTACTGCATTTTACAAGGTGACAGAGGAATCAACACAGTTTCCTGAATGAATCTGGCTAATTTACCAAATCTGGTGGATATAAATTAAAGAGAGAAATTAGCCAAGCTCCAAAGAGGATTTTTGTTCACTCTTCTAAACTGGACTACTATGTGCCTTTCTTATGGGCAGTGTATAGTTAAAACAGAGCGACTTTAGCCACCTCAAAATGCTAAAGTTTACCAAGAATCTTTAAATCTTTTCTTTTAAAGTACGGCCTCCACAAAAACTCTAGAATTTTCTGCCTCTAGCTCTGCTACTGCTTATGAGCATGTTATTTTATCACTCTTAATGGTATAGCCTGAGGCCACAGTTGCTATACATATACATACATTTGTATTCCTGATTTTTCTTCAGTTAAAATGTTACATTGACCATATTCATTTTGGGTACTCCACTGTGCTGTTCGGCTGTTCCCTGCCCATAGGATTCTTCTCTTAATGAACAAAAGTCTAGATTCAAACTTTAAAAACTCATGGGAAGTTGTAAAGTATTTAGCCATTTAAGATCGTATCCAAAGTCAAAAGTTCACTCTGGTTGGTATTTGAAACAACATTTGGAGGGTGACAAATTCAAAATCCTTTTTTGCTTTGATTGAAGATTCTTTCTTTATGAGGATTCCAGAATTCAAGTGAAGAGATTAGTTACAAAATACGAACCTGAACTGCTGTAACAATAACCAATGAGGAGGATTGCACCCTGAAAATTTGTAAATTTCAATTTATTAAACACAATATTAGCAACAAGCAGTGACGTATATACTGGACAAAGTAAATTGAGAAAACATTAGCGGTTTGATCATGTCATCTTCCTGAAAAACTATTTAGCATAGTAGCTTCTAATACAAACACCAGCTTATAAATTTGACTTAGTTGAGGCATCAATCAATACAGTAATAAGAGGAGTTTACACAACATACTCTTCAACAGTCTCCTTTTAATATATTAAATTGAGTTTCCTATTTCATTCCCCTTTTTATCCTTTTATACATACACCACCATAGTTACTATCAGGTCCCTATCTCTAGATAAATGGAAATTAGGATCCTAAAATCTGAGATAGCAATTCTTAAACAGAATCGATCACAATAACTACTGTTAATCTTGAAAAACATGTTATAAATTTCATCGTTGTGTTTATGCATGTGTTTGTATGTGTTTATAGCAGAAGCTATTAAATGGTTACATTACCTGAAATAAAAACTGATTAGCCTTTTAATAGAATATCATGTTACAATAAACATATTTAAATTCCCACCTTTCCACCAGTCCATGAAAATAAATAATATTAATTCAGAGAACATTTGCCTCACAAGGAAAGAAAGTAAGACTACAAGACTGAAAAGTAATTAGGAAGAACATTAGTCTCAGACTGATTGCCAGAAGATAATAACAATTGGGTGGAAATCATACCTGAAGAGTATCTTTATCCTCCTCGGAAAACTTATTATTGACCACAACACTCTCTTCAGTGGGACTAACACTGCAAGATATCCCAATTTAAACTGTACCCAAAACTAAAGGAAAATTAAATGAACATGATGTGGGAAGATATGAATAGCGTTCATAATCAATAGCAGCACAGAGCATAAGCATGACTGTGGTTATTAAATGTGCATCACGCATACCTTCCTGATGGAAGAAAATCTCCTAAAGCAAAAACCAGACCGAAGACTACTACCGCTGCCCCTATTCCAATATGTATCACAATGGTTACATTTCATGCATGGAGTTTTAATATAATAAAAATAAATAAATAAATAAATAAACAAGAGAGAGAGGCATTTGCCAACCAGGTTCGATCGCCGTCGTTGCTCGCAGTGGAGGGCAAAGCGAAAACGAAGGTCAGTCAATGGTGATGAACAAGAAGGGAGAAGAGTGCGCCAAAGAAGGGAAAAGAGGGCTCAGAACTTTCTCAATGGAGTTCTCTCTCCATTGTTGCTCGCGGGGGCTAGGAACGTTGCTGAGTGAAAGGGTTTAGTGCCACAAGTGTTCGTGGGCCGCGCATATTAGGGTCAGTCGATGGTGATCAACAAGAAGGAGAAGAGTGCGCGAAAGAAGGGAGAAGAGGGCTCAAAACTTTCTCAACGGAGTTCGCTCTCCGTCGTTGCTCGCGGCGGCTACCAATGTTGCTAAGTGAAAGGGTTTAGTGGCACGGGTGTCCGTGGGCCATACATATAGGGTCTATTTCTACATCGGTCATAAGAAAAACCGATGTAGAATAATTCCTTATTCTATTTCTACATCGGTCATAAGCAAAACCGATGTAGAATATGTTTGTATTTTTCATTTATTTACAAGTATGTCACCGCATTTATAATTTACATCGGTTCTACTACAACTGATGTAAATATAGCGATGTTAAACAGTGTTTTTGTAGCAGTGACTCCCAAATTTTTTGAAGAATATCCAAGATGTTGAGATTATTTTGAACTTTAGAAAACTTAGTTCTTAGGGGTTTTAACCCATTTAGAATTCTTTAGAATCTTTTAAATATTTCATCAATGATTTCATTCTCTTTCATGGAGAATAACTTATAGTGTCTTGGTAGAAGCCCATTTGAGATTGACATCCTCAGTACCATCATGAGTTACCCTAATAGATTCTTACATTTCCTTAGCCAATGAGCAGTTGTAGAACTTGTTGTATTCAATTACGGACAAAGAGCCTGCCAAAATATATTTGACTTTTTCGTAAGTTGTAGAATGTTATAGTCATCCTAAGTATATTAGCTCTCAAGCTTTGTAACAACTACATCACCTTGAGTGATGATCTTCCAGAGTGGTATTGGGTGGATTTAATGAACATCTCCATTCTATCCTTTCAATATGGGTAGTCTTCTCCATTAAAGGCTAGAGACTTTGTAAGAAAAGCTCCTTCAAATAGGTACGTACTAACCTTCACTAGTTTCCATAATGGATCTTTTTCCTTTAATTAGCATGGTTAGATGCTTAACCCTATCAAGGGTTGAACTCTGATAGCAAACAATGGAGCAAAAATAGACACTAGAAAGTGGAGTTGAATAATGCCAATAAAAAATTTGCATTTTTTCAAGTAGTAAAGTACAGTAATGCTAACAATAAAAGAGGGTTGAAGAGAATGCAAATGAAACACACGATATTGTTATATTAGTTCATCTCAACCACCGAGACTACGTCTAGTTCTCAATCCAACCAAATTGAGTTCCACTATATCTTAAACAAGATATAAGTATTCTTTCAACAAGTCCCTTTTGGCTCAAACCTAAGTGTTCTTTGAATTTTCTCATAAACAATCTACCCAAGTAATCTTTTCACACAAGCCTCTCAGGCTTCAATACTAAGTATTCTTTTATGTTAAGCCTTTCCAGGCTCGTACGAAAATTGTGACGTATTTTTTAAAGACAATTTAATCCGTCACAAAATCCATCACTAATTTTATTTTTTTATTCAGTGACGAAAATTGTGACGGATCTTTTAGAGACAAAATTTAATTCGTCACAAAATTCGTCACAAACTTCAATAAATGGTAGTTCATCACAAAAATTAAAACTCCCTCACAAAATTCATCACTATTAGTGACGATATTTTT